TATGGCCGGCGGTTTCGACGTCGTCAAGGCCGGTGTTGTTCTCGGTGATGTTGTTGTTGACGTCGATGATACGGACGTTCATGTTTTCTGGAGTCTGGTCAGCCATGACAGTCGAGAATTGTTTAGCTTTGGTCTCAAGTAAATAGAAGACGGGGAAGCAGTTTCTCATAGATAGCGTCACTGATCTTACCGAATCAGAGATGGACCGTCACAGCTAGCTCGGGCAGAAGTTGAATGATATGGGGGGTACCTGGAAGACACTCTGATGGTAAAGTAAATTGCGGAATGAGCAAGCAAGTATGAGTTCAGAGGAAGATGGTGAGTTGAATACCTGACCCTCTTAGGAGAGAGGGTATTTATAGCCTCCATCGCTGGGCCAAGGTTCCCTCTATTGGGCCACGTTGAGGCCCAATAACAGGAACTTCAAGGGCTTACGTGTGTATGGAGTCCAGCAAGTGGACTCTCCCCTGGTCAACTGCTCCGCGAGAGCAGGGTTGTACCCGTGATTTCCGGAGGGCAGTTTAAGATGGCTGTCGTGGGATCGTGGGCCACGTCTTCCAACAGTCAGGTGGGGAGTTGCCAAACGGTCCCTAACTTAGACTGTTTTTAGACTTCCCGTTCGAAGGGCAAATGTAGGCCCAATCCAGATCAATATATAAATAGAAAGTAAGTAGAAAACAAGTTGTGCCATTATTTCTTTTTAGATCGTAAAATCATCTTTTAAAAAACTATATTCATAGACTTAGAAAATACAATATTGTTATTCATAAACCTTTAAACTTTCTATAAAAGATCAATTGTTTTTAGTATTAAAAAATAAAAAACATCAAAGACAAAAGATACAAAATCATTTTTAACTTTTATAATTTATTATAACTTAAAGATTTAATTAGTCAGAGAGTTCTTTGACTTAAGGTTTAATGTTGGTTACTCAACTAATAAACATTATTTTTAAGTTTTTAAAAAACATTGTTGACTAATTTAATTCTTTCTATTAATTTTTAATTTTATATATTAGATAAGACAATATTGTTTATTGTACACCATAGATTTTATTAATCATTTTAATATTAAATATTTGATCATTTAAAAAAAATCACATCATTAGATTTTAATTATCTATTAATTGTAATAGTACATTATCAACACCTACTATTCTTTAGATATCTCAAAAAACTCAAGAAAAATGAAAAAAAAAATACAAAAATTTATATCCACTTTTAATTTATTTGTTGTCGTAAGGCAAACAACCACGAATCTAATCTAACAAAGGAGGTAGAAAGAGCGTTAGAGGAAGTGCATTCAAATGAGATATCAGTTTGGAGTCTATTCTTTGTATCCCTTGACTTTGTGGTGGAAAAGGATTCGGTACTTTTACTGTAACAATACCTTTGTAACTTTAGTTTAAATAAATCAAAAATTATATTTTATATTATTTATATAGAGATGGATTGATTTAGAGAAAGAGATAGAGGGAAAGGTAGCAAAGGCATCAAAAGCCAAAGGTAGTCGATTCCTTCTCCTCCGTGGTCTCTTTCTTTTGTTTCTTTTAGAAAAGAAGTATGGTTAGGTTGTAAGGGTGCTCTTGTGCATATTTGGAGCGAAGACTTATTCACAAAGTTCGATAACCTTTATAGGAAAGTAGTAGTTATTGATAAAACTACTATTTTGAAAGAAAATTTCGAGATTGATATAGTACAAGTTCGGATGGATGTTGTGCTACCTATGATAAAGGAGTATTTAAGAAAATTTCGAGATTGATATAGTACAAGTTCGGATGGATGTTGTGCTACCTAAGAAAAAGGAGTTTAAGGTTAAATTTGGTTCTATTGTGTATTTTATTTAGATGATTAAAGACTTCTAATGTAGGGTTTTTACTGTGTTATTCTTTCTCAGTCTTTTAAGGATGTTGAAGATGATAATAGTTCGATAATAAAAGTTAGTGATTGGGGAGATTTGAAGTTCAAAAATTTAGAGTTAATAGAGATTCTTCAGTTTTTTCTGACGAAGAAGAGAAGACTTTGGTTTCGTTTTTGGGGGAAGTGATTCAGGAACTTTAGGTTCAGTGGCTTTGCTAACTTTAAGCAATTTTAAATATTTTTTGTGAAAGATGAAATTAAAAAAAAATGAGCGAGAGAAAGGGAGATGGTGAAAATTCGATTGTATATATGATGACGAGCCTTTAGGTTTTGAGAAAAGACTCAATAGTTTCGACGAAGAAAATTCAGGCTCAGAATCCATTGGAATAGATTGATTTAGGAGATGGAATGCTAAGAAGGCCAACATACGTAAGTGCCAATATTACTTCAAATTTTAAAGAACAAGTGGTCAAACTGCTCAAAGATTTCAAAGATTATTTCGCTTTGAATTATAACGAGATGTCTGATTTTAGTCGGAAGATGGTGGAAATAAAGTTGTCAATTCGACCAAGGAAGATACCATTGAAACAACTAACAATAAGGTTCGAGCCACATATAATGTCCAAAATCAAGGAGGAAAATGAAAGACTCCTACAGAGCAAGTTCATCCGAACAGTCAGCTACGTCAGATGGTTAATAAATATTATGCATGTCATTAAGAAAAATGAGTCTCTTAGAGTGTGCATAAATTTAAGAGATCTGAATAATGTTATGCCCAAAGATAAATATCCAATGCACGTGGTGAAAATGTTAGTTGACTCTTCTGCAGGCTTCAATTATTTGAGTATGTTGGATGGCTACTCAGGGTATAATTAGATCTTCATAGCAGAAGAAGATGTGTCAAAATGGGGTTTCAATGGCCAGGGGCATTGGGAACTTACGAGTGGGTGGTAATGCCATTTGGTTTTAAGAATGTTGGTGCAACTTATCAAAGGACAATGAACATGATGTTCCTTGATTGCATTAACACCTGTATGCAGGTTTACATCGACGATGTAGCCATAAAATCCTCCTTAAAAAATGGTCACATAGACAATCTTCGACAATCCTTCGAAAGAATGAGGAAGTATGGACTGGAAATGAATCCCTTAAAATGTGCTTTTTGTGTTAGTGCAGGGGACTTTCTCGATTTCGTGGTCTATAAGAAGGAAATCGAAATCAATCAAAATAAGACTAAGGCGATTTCGGAAACCAAGCCTCCTTCGACAAAGAAGCAACTCCAAGCGTTGTTAGGGAAAATAAACTTCTTTAGGAGATTCATATCCAACTTAAGTGGTAAAACACAAGCATTCTCCACTACTTCGACTGAAGAAAGAAGAAGGGTTCAGGTGGGATGAAGACCGTCATAGAGCATTTTACGAGATCAAAGCTTATTTGATGCAACCTCATATCTTGGCTCCTCCTACTAGAGTTAAGATCATGAAATTGTAGATATCATTGTCGGACACGACTATAGATAGTATGTTGGCTCAAGAAGATGATACTGGTGTTGAAAGGACAATTTATTACCTCTGTCGAATCTTGAATTATGCTAAAATTAGATATAGCTCAATAGAAAAGATTTGTCTTTGTTTGTACTTTTCATGTATCAAACTGAAGCATTATATAAGGTCAGTCGATGTTTATGTTTACTCTCATTTTAATATAATTAAATATGTGTTATATAAGCCTATCTTGCATAGTCGAATCGGAAAATGAGCATTAGCCCTCACAGAATATTCATTAGCTTATGCGCCATTGAAGGCCATCAAAGGTCGGATTGTGACAGATTTCATAGTTGACCATTCAATGGTCGGAGTAACGCAGAATTATGTAAGTAAAAAACCTAGGAAGTTTGAGTCATCATATCCACAGTACATGAAGAGACGAGTTAAGGGAAGTACTAATGATTACGATGATGTTAGCGCACTATCTTGAACAACGTCAGAAACTTTTAAAAAACGCCATTTATCTTAAGTACCAGAGGTCCGGTCGAACATGCCATTTTTTAAGGGGCAATTTGATAGTTGAGAATTTCGACAACGAGAATTAAGTCTGAAGAATATAGATTGTTTTGTGATAAAGAGTGGAATAAGGCAGTCGATAGATGTCAATCGAAGTCGATTCAATGTTTTATCTTGTTCTCGGGGACTTAGAATCATTTTGCAAATTATGTCCATGTGATGAGCACGATTTCGACTATAAGTAGTTAATCCATTCACTAAATGAATAAGATCAAATAATCCCTATGTTAGGATTACAGGTCACAAATTCACATACAACACTTTAAAACTTAAAGTATATGCAAAATAGAGATAAACAATATGATCTTGTGTATGCAAAATAGAGATAAACAATATGATCTTGTGTACCATCTTTACATTTCTTACACAATTTACTGAAGTCATTTCTTTTACTTAACCTTTTCCCGCATAGTTTTTCTTTACTTTTGTTTTACATTGCTTTATGTTCAGTCTAGTCGATCCTTTCTTTATCACTTCTTTTACTTTACACTCAAATTAAACACACACTTTGAATGCTTCTAAGAATTCATACACCAATGTGTCATATGACTAACTAGTCGGTCCTTTAAGTAACTTTTTTGAAAGACTAACGCTTATTTGTCAAAAATACCGGTAAACACGTGGTTAGGGTGCGTTTGGATTCTAATATCTAGAATTTAGAAATTTCGCCAAGGTAGGTATAGTGAACAATCCCCTAAAATATTTGCGGGGTTCATGAACATTCAGCTGCCAAGTCTCATCCATAATGTTCCAATTTCGTTAAAAGTATATTACTCGCTGAAGAGAAGGGGGGAAAAATAATCTTCTAATGTTATTTCTAGGCCACAAAACTCAATTGCACCATTCAAAATAGGAGGCAAAATGCCTGCAATTTTATTAACTATGCGGGCAGAAAGCAGGCATTTAGAGAATCTAGATAACATTCTCCATTAGCATCCAGCAGTTCCATCACAGTATAATTTCTCGAAAATCCATGTCTTCGAATATCTAAATCCGTTAAACACAAACTAGTTTCAATCCAGCAACTATTCCAAATATTCACATCTTTCCCATTACTTATCAACCAAGGAATATTGATTCAAATAAGGCCATAATTATACAAGAGCCTTCCAAAATTTGGAGTCTGGAGGTTTAGCAGCAACTTCATCCTTCTCCGCATCCTCTCTCTATTGTATTTACCTTTGATCACTCTATACAACAGTGAGTCTTTTCCACTCCTAAGCGTCCATCCCAATTTTAACAAACACGTGTTATTCATAATGTCCAAGTTCCTGATGCCAATGCCTCCTAAGAACTTAGGCTTCATAACCACATTCCACTTCACTGAATGAATATGTCAAGTTCTATCATCATCGAAAATGTGGGAATCATCTCGATGACATATTTGGCTAAAGTCACACTCCTTGCAAAAAGATAGTTGATTGGCCTTCCAAGCAGAAAGTTTATTCTTCACCTGCTCCAACAAATACTGAAAATCTCTTCTTTTAGGAGCTTTACAAGTAAGAGGCACTTCAAAATACTTACCATTAAACTGCGTCTCCCGGAGAGACTTGAGTCAACTAATTTCTAACATTCTTAGGGACATTCCTAAAGAAGAAAATGCTGTTTTTTTCATTACTAACCTGCTTGAAATACTACAAAATTTGTTAAGAATATTAACAACACAACGTATTTGTTCCTCAATAGCTTGACTAAAAAGTAAAAAGTATCTGATCATCCGCAAACATCATGTGAGAAATAAAAGGACCGTTCCTACCCGCACTGAGGGCCTTCTAACTACCTCCATCCACTGCTTCACTAATAAGATGAGACACTTTATCCCTACATATAACAAAAAGATAGGTGATAAAGGATCACATTTCCTCAATCCTTTGTTTAGAAAACCAAAAGAAGAGTATTTAGAAATAACACCAATCTAAAGTAAAAATCAGAAGTGTAGCTTCAATATTGATGTATCAGAAGTCTACACATTTGCACAACTACCATATAACTATGGATGTGTTTGTCCATGATTACAAATTCATCTTAAAACCATTTTAAATCCAACAATATATTCTGGCTTAGCTAAATATATGCAATAGATTATTGGGCTAAACAAACATGGAAGGAAAAATGACACTCCAAAAATAAGTATTCCATACCCATGAATGATAAACAAAGGATTTTGAACAAATATCAATCACAACAGAAGCAAGAAAATCGTAGTTAGTGACTTTCCTTTCCTAAAGGTAGGGAATCCCTACCCCTAAAATAGCTCTAATCAAACAAATTTCAAATCAAATACAGAACAACAATATGGTAAGGCTCAAATACCTGAAAATCTAATCATGACATGCAAGTTTTGTCCTTGGTCCATGCAAGCTCGCGTTTCTCCTCGTACAACTTTAATAGATACGCCGACTCCTTAAAATCTCTTATAAACCTATCAAGAAATGACTTCTCAGGCACTACAAATGGAGAAGTTAAGCTTGCTTTCTTACTCCTCAAACCATTATTCAGAAGAAATTGCACAACTGAGGCCCTCGGAATGATCCTTTTTTCTAAACTTAAGGAAAAAACGGACGGTTGCTTGGCAAGGGCCAGAGCATCCCAGCCCAATTGTTTAACCCAAAAATCCATCACCAAATTAATCTTATCAACGGATGTTAGCATACAATAAGGTTGCCTTTTAAATGCTTGAACGACATCTTCATGAGACCAACCCCACTTGTTAAAGGCATCAACTTTCTCCTTCCACATGGTTTTGGTTACCGATGTTTTCGCAATCATAGCTACACCAAAAGTTGTTTTCGAAGGATTAAACCCCAAACCCTTTAATTCCTCCAATAAACTCACCATGTCACGCACCTGGAGTGTCCGAGTCCTGATCCGAAGAATTCTCGCAATGTTTGCATCAGCTACTCCATTCTCAATGAGCAATCTGATATTTTGTGGCACATTGCTGTCTCCAAAGAAAGACGGATTGTGAGCTGCACAAGCAACAGTATCCTTGTGAGATTGCAAGAACCTATGAACCAATTCATAGGTTGGAGCTATATGATTCTCCAAGCTTGGACACAAGACTCTAGGGTTCTTACTGAAAAGGTTAACAATGTCAGAGTTAGAAGCACCTTTGGAGAGAAAAAATTCAAACTTTGGCGATAACCTTTTGGAGAGGTTGCAGGAAAGTAGCCACGGTGCCTTGGCAATCATGTTGCGTAATTGGGAATTAGAGAAATTGTGGTTTCTGAAGAAGTTGAGAACGGAGTCAGGGTTTTGGGTGGTTTTGAAACCGAGACGGTAGGTGGAGCAGAGTTTGGAAGCAGATTGTGGGGAGAAATCGAAATTGTGGATGAGGTAGGAGACTTCGAATGGGGTTGAATCGGAAGTGTTGGTGGAGAAATGCAGGGAGAATGGTGATGGTTGTGGGGAAGTTAAGGATCTGAGATAGATTAGGGTTCTGTTGCTGCATGGATTGAACTTCAACATGGTGATTGAAGGAGTTGGTTTTTGAGATTCTGTTACCGGCGGTCCAAGACGAAAATGGCGACTTCGTGGTGCAGATTAGATGACTTTACGACAGCGATGCGACGGTGAATAGCGGCTCGAGGTTTAGAATCTGTTTGATTCAAAACAGGAATTTTAATCAAGGAAAGGTGAGAGGAGGAGATGTAAGAGTTTTTTTAATTATAAATTATAAATTTGTTTGGTTCGGAGGGAAATAAAGTGAGATTTTAATTGAAAATATATTTGCTTTTAAAAAAATGGGAAATAGTTTATTAATAACTTTTATTTTTATTTTTATGATTTTATATAATAAGTTATATAATATTTAAAATTTGAAAAATTCATAAATATTTTTTTGATTAATAAAAAATTATAACTTGATCGCACCTGATCAGAATGGATCGTCACAGTTAACTCGAGTAGAAGTTGAGAGTGAGGTGGAGGGTACCTTTGGACTTGAAAGATCCAGAAGTTTAGATAATAAGGCTCTCCTTGATCAACTTGTCAATACAATCAATCTTCTAAAGCTTGGGGGAGACATGATAACCAAAATACTTTAATCCCTACACAATGCATGAATGCAATATGATGTTTATGATGAAACATAAGCCTAAATCAAGAGGGTAAATTTTGGGGTGTGTTGTACCCCAAAATTTGCCCTCTCATTCTTCAAGGCCTTTCTCACAAGGATTTTCAATATTCAAGCTTGCACAAGTGTTGGCTGAAGATTTTGATGATACAGTTCGAAACGAAGCAAGTTGGATGTTTCGTTGGAATAAAGCAAGATGTTATGGTTCGGAATGGTAGAAGCAGTTCTTCGAATGAACATGTCAAAGCTCGGAGCTTCGAGTGACAGTTGTGGAGATATATTCAAAAGAAGTCTCGAAGTGGTAACGAGACTGTGTCCAAGAAATGAGTTCGAAGCGAAGAGTGTCAAAACATTTGAAATTCAAACGCAAGCGGGATGTTCGAAATTTAAAATATATGCGCTGGAGCATTCGAAGACGCGTGGAAGCTAGAGAGGAGCAGTGCTCTGCATGTTCTGAACATGGCAGAATCTTATAGGCAAGACCGTTATGGTCAAAGTAGTATAAATAGAAGTCTTAGCGTTAGGATTTCGTGTGTCATATCTATTGTACAAAAGTCAGTAAACATTCAAAATACCACATGGCTAGGGAAACGAATGCTCGAACAATGTACGTATGATAACACCAAATATTTATGATTCAGCAAAACTCTTTATCATTTCCAGTTTATCTTCTATCTTCATGTCAATATCATTCAAAAGCCTTTACATTAAAGTATTTTCATTCAAAGTCATTTACTGATTTCTTGCATTTAAACGCTTTCTTTCTATTTCGAATCCTTTACATTTCAGAAACTCTTTTACATTACATGATTTTATACTTCAAAGTTATTTACTTGTTTCTTGCAGTTTTACATTTCTTTACAATCGAATCTTTATTCATGCAATTTAGTTTCGCACGTCTTTACTTGATCATGTCATTAGATCTTTTTAATATGGTAATCGAAGTAAGTTGAACGCCTACACAACATTCTAAATACTAACCATGAATATCAGTTCTACAATGAGAATTATCCAAACGACCAATACACCATAGGATCAATCTAGTCGATCCTGCAAGTTACCAGAGAGATTAAATAACAGTCATTAAGATTATTTGATAGTTTGGAGGACTAGTGGTTGTTTACCAGAAATCACTGTAAACAAATTGGCACACCTAGTGGGACCCTCATTGGTCGTTACGAAATTTAGAACAAAGTAAAAAATTGTTGAGACATAACCATTGTAAAAGTACTTTCTGAGTGATAAGTTCGTTGTTATATGAACCTTAGAAGTGGTAGAATAACCAATAGCAACCAACCCTTACCCAGAAGAAAACGTTTAAACAAGATGTCTAATCCAGACAATCAATAGGGGGAACAAAATATCCCACATGCAACAGGCACTAATATGTCCGCTTCGACGGGAACATCTAATATGATCCCTTCAAACGCACAGTCTGTTGCATCTTCTACCAGTAGTATAGCCACGAATGGGACAAGTGGCATGTCGACTAACAGTTCGATCCTAGGAAATACAGGAACCATTGGTTATCCTGGGGGATTCGTCCCACCATCAGGGACACAAACCCATTTCGCCACCCCACTAACTAGACCACCCGGGTTCGATGCTAATAGACACAGAAATTCCTCTTATGGGATGCCAACATCTTTTATGGCGGGTCTGCACACTTCGACATCGAATACGTCACCACAATTAGGGTCTGGGTCTGGGGCAAATCAATTTATGACAAATAACCAAGGATCAGTGGGTTATAGTGCAATGCCTATCTTAACCACAGAAAATCAGTTGGCCTTTAGGCAATTAATGGATGACAGTAACCATAATATGATAGGAGTATTAGCGCAAACTATGCAGGAGATCTTTGCCCCAATAGTACAAAATGTAACTGTGACAAACAGAGAAAACGCGGATAACATGAGTAGAATAACAGATTTTTTCGCTCCCCCAGAAAGGCGTAGGCAGAATCAGGCGGGATTTCGAGCAAACGTACCTATCATAGAACAAGTTGCTGATGAACCACCCTATAGACCAGCCAGAGAGGGGGTTAATTTGGGGGCAAGGGCACAAAGGTTAGAAGCCCCAATGATTCAAGGCCCACAAAGGGAAATTATGGAACCAGGGGCAAGGATCGAAAGGTTAGAAGTCCCAGAGTTTCGAGAAGAACAACCTAGAGGAGTTGTCATGGTGGGTCGAAATCAAGATGCTGATGCAGTCGTTCACAGAATTCGAAACGATAACATCTTGGCAGAAAATAATTTAACCACCATGATAGAGAGAATCATGGCCCAGAATGGCCTCAACACAGGAATTAGAAGGCCAAATTATGCCTCTCCTATATTAGATTACATAATGCACACTGATTTACCAAGGGGATATAAAGTCCCTAAGTTTACAAAGTTCGCTGGAGATACCAATGAATCAACAGTCGAACACATAGCCAGGTATCTAACCGAAGCAGGAGATATAGCAAATAATGAAGACCTTAGGATCAAATATTTCCCAAGTTCCCTAACTAAGAACGCTTTCACATGGTTCACCACTTTGCCTCCTGGGTCCATAGATACTTGGGCTCTGTTGGAGAGATTATTCCATGAACAGTTCTACATGGGACAATCTAAAATAAGTCTGAAGGAACTAGCCAGTGTCAAGAGGAAGTTTACTGAACCCATAGATGATTATCTGAATAGATTCAGGCTCTTGAAATCTAGATACTTTACAGTAGTTCCTGAACATGAGTTAGTCGAAATGGCTGCTGGCGGCCTGGATTACTCTATTCGAAAGAAATTAGATACACAATACTTGAGGGACATGGCTCAATTAGCCGATAGGGTTCGACAAGTCGAAAGGCTGAAGGCCGAAAAGGCCAGAGTTTTTAAAAATAACAAGAAAGAAAGGGTCTCCTATGTTGGAGCTGAGGAAGCAGAAGATTACCCTGAATTCGAAGAGGTCGAAATTGATCTCGCTGAATTAAAACAGGCCCCACCTTACTCTTGCAAATTATTAGTTCCCACAAAAGGGAAAGAAATTGTTGAAAATGAGAAAAGTGACAAATTCCCAAAGAAGGTTTATACCTTCGATGTAACTAAGTGTGATGAGATTTTTGATTTACTTGTCAAAGATGGACAACTCATTGTGCCATCAAATGTCAAAATACCTCCTTTAGATCAAAGGAAGAAAAGAGGATTTTGTAAGTATCATAGTTTCCTAGGCCACAAAACCTCACAGTGTTTTCTTTTCAGGGATCTAATTCAAAATGCAATTAAGGATGGCAGATTGAAATTTGCTGACAAACCAAAAATGAAAGTAGATGAAGATCCTTTGGATGTCGCAGACACCAATTACTCCGAGCCTGTATGCATTGGAGAAATCAATATGGTGGAAGCAGATCAAGATGACACTCCATTAGGAGAGAAAGGCACTAAGAATGAAAACTGGGTGTTAATCGAAGTCAACAAGGGGGTCACTGAGGACGTCCACAAGCAACCAGAGGCTTCAATCGAAGCAGCGCCTTTAGCTGTTGCAAAAGAAATCCAGGCTACTGAAGGCCAGGAAAACCAAAAGCAAGAGTTGACACAGGTTACTGAAGGCCTAAGGCTAAAATTGGAGAAAGTCCAGATCACAAAGCCACCCTCCCCTCAGAAAGAAATATGGGATACTTTAGGAGAGCCCAGTGGAAAGTTTGACTACTTGGTAAAGTATTCTGCCCCAGAAAGTTCAGAAATCCAAATTGAAGATATAAAACCTACAGGATGGGGAGATGATGACATAAAGGGGGAGGATGTAGATGTAAACATGGTGAATATGGAGAGACCTCGTTCTGAAATGGAGGAGGTGGAGAGATACTTAGAAAAAGAAAAATATAAAATGGAGGATAATTATGCTGGGGATGCCAGTCTTAAAGATTACCTCATGTTGTGCCACAAAGGAGATGCGGAAATGATACTATGCCCTAGGTGCAGCATCATCTGCAACCAGAGAATTGCTGCAAATTTCGAGAGGGTACAAAGGGCACGAACTGGCATAAACTGGCCCCAGGATAACCAGTTATTCAGGTGTTACCCTAAAGCTGGAGAAAGTTTGTTGGAGTTTTTGGTTCGCTGTTACAAAGGGGCAACCAAATGCTTGGTATGCCCAAGGTGTTCTGCAGTGTACGATCAAAGTATGGCCAGGGCCTTCGAAACAATCCCTTTTGCCCCATGTTGGAACCACCAAGAGACTGGTCAGATGGGCCAACGTTTCGATAGCAAATACAATCAACGAAGGCCTGATAGTCCTCATCCCAAAGGCGCTCAAAGAGTGACATTTAAAATTCCTGCTGAAATACCAACAGACAAATGGTTGCAAGCAGAACTGACAAGGGCAAAGACAAATGGAGAAATAATGAACGAAACGC